ATAATGAAATATCCTTCATACTCAGTATATTTGTTTCAGCGAAGCGGGTGCACTAAGCTTTCGCCATGTGCGGGTTTTAGGAAGGGTCGAACCACAAAGGTCTATCATACGTAACTTTATTTTGTATTTTTACAAAAGCCTATTTTCACGAAGTGAATTTGCTTTACTGCAAATAAAAATGATTTTTCTAAAGGTAGAAAGCTATAGGTTTCGTGTGATTCTATTTTATAAAATTATACTAAAACACACTTATCAACTCGCATAAGAGTTTTTTTTTTCTCATTCGGTGTCCGGTTTTCTGCATTGGAGCCCGGCTATATCTGGATTCGCGTCTGGTAGGGCCCCATTCGGGACCCTACCAAGGATTTTTTCATATCCAGTGCTCGAACTCGAGACCTCTAGTTAAGGGAGAAGCAGTCATCCGCTGCACCACATTCTTTGGTGGTAACTGGAATAAGAGTTAAACAATCTTGTAAGTATACTGTCCAGTTGATTATACCATAGAGGAAACTCTAAACAGATTAATCATTATAGCTTAAAATATTAAAATTTGGTAAAACTTACTGTTTTGTTTGATTTAACAAATAGAATGTTTTTGGCATCAAGTACTTGAATGAATAGAATTCCACGACTTTAGTAACCAACATGATTTACTGAAAAGTTGAATAATTCCAGTATTGAGTCTCACCCACTTAATTCACTATTTTTCATATTAAAAAAATGGTGTCGGTGGGGAAATTGCAATAAGAAAGAGTCAAAAAAGTTAGGAAATCTCATAAAATCATATGTATAAAAGAGAGGTTACCTCTTTTGCTGTCTAACTAATTGGGTTTTGGTTTAGACTTTTGCGGAAGTCTTTGCTTTTTGTTGAGCCGTCACCGCTACCTGGGCCCTACCTCCCTAGGATTGTTTGAAATGAGGTCGACCTACGAAGAAAAAAAAGAAGAAAATATAGCAAATTTTTTTTTGAAAGAAAAAAAGATTCTCGAGAAACCATAAGGAAAAAATGACACTAAATAGCCTATGTAAAAAATAATAGCCGAAAAAATGTATTATATATATATATGTTATGTATGTTTTATATACAAAAATTATACAAATTTTATATATTTTTAGGCTACCAAATTTAAATAGTTTTAGCACGGATTGAAAGTGATAATACCTCAAATCTTAATCCCCCTTATAGGTTTTTCTCAATTATATGATGTTAATTAATAAATTCTATTTTTGACACAACTCAACTTACACTATCATGTCAGTTAACTTGATATAGTAGCATGTGACCTTGCCTTATTTTTAAGATTCTATTTTTTTATGAGTTTATCTGTATATTTCATTTGGATGATTTGATAGTATAAATATTTTATACGCTGATGATGCTATGACTTAAACTCAATCAATTTATGTGAAATTATAATGTTTTTTCATACGCTCAAAGTTGGAATTCCAACATAACATTAGTAGCACAACATTGGATATGCAACGTTAAGGATGAGTCTCATTTTAGTACAACACTAAGAACATAAACCTTGTATCCCACTCTACCACAAAAGTTAGTTTAAATTGTGAGAATCGTCCATAATCATATAAAAAATCCATGAGATCGTTTGGGTTAATTTAAAAGATGCACAGATTAGCTTTTACACACTATTTGGCTTTATGACTCGTATAATTAATTGATATGAGATATTAACATACATCTCTCACCTATAACCCCAGGATCGTGGATTCGAGTTAGCAAAGAAACAATAATTCCAACAAAAGGAATCAAAGGAGAATTAAAAGGGAGGAAAGAAAAAAAACATACATGGCGTCCTATTTTTCATTGCATATTTTTTTCCTAACAACTACTAAAGATTTTATCAAATGTATCACGTTATTAGTGAGCAAGTCACAAACCTCACTCGTGATTGTTGATCCAACACATGACGGATATGGATGTATTCATATGTTGTGTATCTACTATATATGTTAACATTCTTGGTGTCACTGTCCATTATACATCTTTTGTCTCTTCTTTCTACATCTATATTTAACACTCCATTCGTGCTAATAAAGTACTATTACTTCGTAAAAAGGTGACTAAAATAATGGATTACAACGTGAAAAAAAAAGTATAATTAATTATCACCAATCAACTAGTAATAAGTTAATGTCGTAGTGATACAAATTGCTTCTTTTTTTTATTTGTAAGAAGCTTATTTACACTGTATCATGTTGATAGTTATTTAATGAAGTTTCCTAATTATTCCACTATCCTTTGTCGGAAAAGTACCGCTTTAAAAGTCGTGGCCCTGGGCCCTGGCCAAACTTAGCTTTGTACCGAAAATTAATTCTATATGTTAAGTGTAAACCTGACATACTTCCACCAATGTCATTTATAAAACGACCCGTACACGAGATAAACTCGTCGGTTCATCAATGCATCCATGTTTTTTTTTGTTTCTCAATTCTCATCCCATATTTGGTTTTCGATATTAGAAATTGACTCAATCTAAATTCCGCACAAAAACAATTTATACTCGACTCGAATCTAAAATCTCTAATAAATAATTAAGTACTTACTGCTCTACCATAATATTTGTTGATCATTCACGCACTTATCAGTAGTTGATGACTATGCATTGTGATTTGTGAACAGAAAAGTTACCTTTTCAGAATAGATTGTTATAAACAAAAATTTAACAAATTAATTTAGAAATCTTATTAAAAAACGATGAATTTTCAAAAATTACTATTGTTTAGTGGCTATTAACTTCCTATAGCTACCATATACATATAGCTACTATTCAGTTGTTATGGTAGTATATTCACTGTATTCGCGCTGCTGTATTCATGAATACAGCACTACAACAGCAAAAAACGCATAAAAATATGGGCAGTCCAGCTGTACACGCATGTATTCACATGTATTTGTACCGTATATTCATGAATACAACAACAAAAAATGTCTAAAAATCATGGCAGTCCAGTTGTACGCGCATGTATTCACATGTATTCGCGATGCTGTATTCATGAATACAGCAGCAAAAAGCGCCTAAATCAGGACAGTCCAGCTGTAGGAGCATGTATTCATATAATTCGCGCCATGTATTCATTAATACATTAACGACAATCACCTTAAAAATAGGTATGTCCAGCTTTCTAATAACAGAAATAATATCAATTAGCGTGATAAACTCCTAATATAACTCAACAAAATCAATTATAACATGCCTAGTTATCAACCCAATTAATTAGAATGATTTTTCGGTTGTATATAACTTTTGTATTTAGCTTTTTTCAATATTTTTTTTTTGTTGCTGCAGTCAATAGATTCATTGTTTGTATTTACTGTATTCGCTATTTTATATTCAGTGTATTCAAATGTATTTGTATTAACACTATTTTAGTTATTCCTAATACATGTTATTACTCCTGTATTTAGTATATTCTATTGGTTGTATTCACTATATTCTATTTGTATTCAGTGTATTTTACTATAGTTAACTATATTTTTAAAATTAAATATATTTACTGTTTATATTTTATTCTATTTTAATCTTTGTATTCAGTGTATTTCAATGTTTATATTCTGTATTGATGGATCAATACAGATGTAATCAATTGCATTCAAAAAATATAAACCTTCGAAAAACATAAATACAAGAAAAAAATGTATTTATGCAAAAATATAATATATTTGAGTGAATTTGTACAGAATACAATGTATTTGTATCATTCTATGTGAGTAAATAGCAAAGACGAGAAGAAAGTTCGTCGGAGATTGTATTTTCCGGCTAAATAAAATATTGTATACATTGTATTAAAACTAAAAATGGAGACGAACAAAAACCCCGTCCTCGAATCTTCTTCAGCGTAAAAAAAATTGCAGTATCCGTGTAGAGAAATTCATTGCAATATCCGACGTAGAAGAAAGCCGCAGTGGCCCTCTTATTTCAAAGTTGTTGAATCAGCCCTTGAAGAGGAAATTTGAAGTTTTCTGCTGAAAACCTAACAATGTGAAGATTAAAAAAAAAAAAAAAGTGAATAGAAAATGAAGATGCTTGAACAGGCAAAAAATCCAAAAAGTTTAACACTTACACGAATTTTTGGAGCAAAAAGGTTAAGTGAGTGAGAGAAGCCAATCTTGCTATGAGAGAGATCATGGAGAGAGAAAGAAGAAATATTTTGTTGTGATTTTGGGAGAGAATAACGGAAAGAATGAGAGAGAAAAATGGCACATAGCATATTTAATGCCTTAATGATAGTGTATACCATAAACACCTATTTATAAAAGACAAAAAATAACTATAGAAAATGATATTTAAAGGGATTTTGATTATAACAAAAAGGGTATAAATCTTTGCTATAGGAGGTAAAATTTTTTTAAAAAATACAGATGTAATTGTAAATGTAAGAAGTATAGGTGCCGAGGCTACAGGCTGGAAGTTCGGGCACCAAGATTATGGGCTTCAAATCGGCCCAATATCCAGTGCACTGGCCCAAGTCTTTTACCGGCGAGATTTGGGGGAGAAACTCAAAAATAGCCATATTTATAAGTGGTCATTCAAAAATAGCTACAGTTTCAAAAGTAATCTAAATTTAGCCACTTTTCAAGTAAAGATAAATATGAACGAAGACACTATTCAAAATCCGGAAAATACTAAGCATAATATACTGTAACTCCAGTATATTAGTATAATATACTGTAATTCCAGCATAATATATTGGAGTTCCAGAATAATATACTGGTATAGCGTAATATGCTGGAATTCATAAACACGTGCTCCAATCTCGAGTATATTATGCTGGAACTTTCCGCATGTTAGAGTTCCAGCATAATATGCTGTAAGTTCATACACAGGTGCACCAATCTCCAGTATATTATTCTGGAACTTTCCGTATTACAACTAAATAGTGACTATTTTTCAAACTATGCAAATGCTGGCCAGTTTGAAAACTTGCTAGCCCACTATTTTTAGGACATTGGGCCCTTCTATTTTTTTTGGCGCCAAAAGGCAGCTTCGCAGCGGCCGTAATTGCCTCCGTCGATTTTGCCGCCGAAATGTATTCAACCGCCGGCCATACGGTCGTTGACTGTAGTCGACTTCAATCGCTTTCACAGATCTCCAAATCGTCTTTGCAACTCATTCACCCGCGCAAAAATGTTTCCATTTCTCTCTTATTCGCAAAAACTCATCGCTCTCCCAATGGATTCCGGCGAATCCGAATTATATCCGGAAGACAAATATCTTCTCATTCACCGGCAGCTTCAAGCAACAATAACTATGCGTTTGATTGTGATTCAACTCACAATGACTTTGTATTGCCCCCTGGTCCGTCAGTCACAAACCTATATATATGTGTATGTGTGTATGTGTTAATCCTTTACTTTTAATTCTTTTCATGTAGGTAAGCTGCAGTTTAGAAATGTGACATGGATTGGTATTGCCACAATCACTAGCAAAGTTCTGGTGATTATTTCGCATTTAGTATTTTTCAAGTGTATTTACTGTTTAAACCTTTAACTCTTTGCCTCAATAGTTTTGTTGTTTTCGGTTTTCTGATTTTTGGTCACGTAGGGATTAGTGAGGGAGATTGTTATAGCTTCAGTTTTTGGCATTGGTCCGGTGGCAACTGCCTTCAGGTAAGCTCATACATGAAAAAGTTTTTGCTAATATGTTTCCTGAAAAGCTTTTTTACTTTTTGTCCAATTCTAAGATTTTTAGTTTTGTTACTCTTCTCACCATTTTAGTCTGATTTGAATGGTGCTTTAATATCAGGTATGCTTCGGTGCTGCCTGGTTTTGCTGCATCGGTTCTTGGTGGTGAGTAAAGAATAAAATAACGTAGTTGGTTTATCCATCCATAATAGTAGGAAGATATAAAGCATATCCAATTCTTTACATTTTCCTGTTGCAACAATTATTTCTCTTGGTCCAAGAAGGTCTCTCACTTGGGGTTTGGACATTTAGTCACATGCAGCACAGCCTTAATCCAACTTGTACTGTAGTTGTTCATCTTTGGTTGAAAAATCCATTCTTTGTTTATGTCAGATTTTACAAGGTTTCTCGCCATCGTGACTGTTACCTGTGCATGATATTGCATTCTGTTGATGCCTTGTTAACAGTTAATACAATGCTTTATGTGTAGAAGATGACAGAGAAGTTTTTTTTTAATCACTGCTTCTTATTTCATGCAGGTGTTAATGGTCCTATTCACATCACAATGACAGCTACGTTAAGGCTAGTTGATATCTTTTATCAGCTACTTTCTTGATTTTCCAATGCTGAATTCAAAGTTGTTCTGCACCCTCACTTCAATAGACTCTATGTTCACTAGGAGCTAAAGGCATCATATCCCTGGATTCCCATATTTAGCTAAAGCAGCAAGAAGCTTGCTATACTTGATATTTTATGTATAACCAATGTGATTAACCCTGATTCCTTATCCTGGAGCAACTAGCTACATGTAAAGTTAATTAACATAGAGTAAATTCACTGGTCATTAGCCTTCTGTCTTCATTGAAGTTCTGCTTCTGGTTTAGACCCTGGAGACCGGCAGGGTTTAGTTAGATAAAGAACTATGCGTCCAAGCTCTACTCCTCCACACACCTAAAACTTAGCTTCATCATCTACAAGCCTGTTTAATGTTGGCCTAACATGCTAATGAGTGATTATGCGGGTGAATGCTTAATCTTGAGACATCAATGCAGATGTAGACTGTTATATCTTGCCTTCTCTCTTTATAAGTAAATCTGCCTGAATTTAAGTATGACTATTGGCACATTCTAGACAAGGGGCAGCTATATGGTGACTTTTTTGTTGTCCTTGGTGCATAAATCTTAGATGCAAGTTTAAAGACTTTGAGCTAGTTTCCCAATAATTACCCGTTCCACCTTTACACCTTGTTGATAGTCTTGAAAATACATTTCTTACTTCTGACCTGTCACGATGATGATCTTCAGTAAGCTTCCACAGGATCGTCAAGAAAAGCTATTTAAGCATGCAAATACTGTCATGATCCTGGTATGTAAATTCTCACTGCTTAATATATCCTTCTTCTTACTCATCTATCACAACTAAAAAGCTATAAGCATTTTGCAACAAAAATGAATTTCATGCAGGTAGGAGTTCTGGTGGCTGCCCTTGTGTTCATATTTTCCAAGTCTATAATTCATGTATATGCACCAGGGTAAGATGGTTTAAATCCAAAGAATTTTTGTGAATTTTAACTTGCGATATATAAGATGTAAACGATCTGGTCTTCTAAACTTTGATTTTGCATTCGTGTCCTGATTGCTATCTTGAGATTATTTAAATGAAATTTTTATCTCAAAGTAGTGCGGCAGATAGCTCATGATGAACTGCCTGTCACAGGTTTTTGTTTTTTACTATGGCTTTACTCTCTAGGTTGGCTTTCTATTCTCGAAAATATTTAGTGCCTTTTTCCAACATTTGACTTGTCGTTTCCCTGCTCATGCTAAGTCACAGCATCTTTATCTAGCCTTTATTTCGAAACTGAAGGTTGTTATGCCCAGATTTCTTAAATTAACGTAGACCAGAAAATTCTTTTACTGTCATTGTTAGGCATTTATATGCTTGTGAGTATTTCTTGCTGATTGCCCTTCATTGATCCATTCTCAGTCTGTGGACTTCAACAGAAGGCCAGATAACAAGCCGAATAGCTATCCAACAGGTAATGGATTTACTTTTCAGCAAAATTCAGCTCGAGTTTCTTCCTACCATTACCCATCTGGCAAGCTTGTTTAGCCAATTATTTTTGCCTTATCTCACTTTTACTAACTTAAAAGTACATATATCCCTTTCGTGCATGTAAAAAGATATATCCCTTTCGTGCATGTAAAAAGATGTAAACGCATTTCTGTACGTCTTTTCCTTTACTTTGTATCAACATTCCATTTGGAGCATATTTGCCTTTAGTTTCCGTTTCCACAATAGGTATTTACTCCTTTAGATTTTGACACCTTTTCTTATTTAACTGGATTTCACATATTTTGCAGTTGAAAATAATGAGTTCTTGCATTGTTTTTGCTGGCACTGTTGGTCTTGGATTTGGTTATCTGAGGTAACATATTAATGAATGTCTTTTTTTGTCCAGTTGTTAATAGTTATTTGAGCACCTAACAGTTTCTTTTTACTCTAGTGCAAAAGGAGAAAATGTCTTTCCTGCGATTAGCCCGGCCTTCTCTAGCTTGCTCCTGATTGCCAGTGTAAATTCTGACTTGCCGTGGCCCAAGTATTATTTCATTAGGAATGACTCTTCCGTATCTTGTAGTAGATTCTTGTAGATTCCGACATGAATACAGTTGTAATTTGTTGCAGTGCCTCTTTTACTCGTTCAGCAGAAAATCAGATGCCCTTTCTTCTGGTAATGTAGCCTGCTTAGTAACTTCAGTGATATTATGTGGAAAAGATATTGAAGTTTGAAATTCTTTAAATAGGTGGCATTCTTCTGTCCTGTGGAGCTTCCCTTGGTGTAGTCGTTCAATGGATTATCCAGGTCTCTGTTGCTGACCTCTGCCTCTTTCAAACTTTAGTTATATTTTCAGGTTAAAAGACTCAATCCTATATTATATGGTGTATGTTTTTCTTTTTTGTTTTCCACGTTATACACGTGCTTGTTTCTTAAATTAAATTGGACATGAGTTATACGTTATGCTTGATTTCAGGTGGCATTGCTAAGGAGAGCATGGCATGAAGTTATTTCAGCTTCATGGATTGACGGATTCAGGAGCAGGGATCTTTGTGAAGTAGACCTCTTTGACCTTCTACTTCTTCCACGTATTTCCTTTCCAATCAATTGTTGCTTTTAATCACTTTTCCGTTGTGTTTTTTCATAGCTTTTCTCAGTACTAGTACCAGCAACATTCAATTCAGGCTTGGCACAAATAGCATCATTTACTGACATCTGTTTTGCATCTCATTTTCCTGGTGCTGCCGCAGGCCTTTCATGTAAGTGAAAGTGAAATTTTTCTGTGGCCTTTTCCATGTTGATCAAGCACAGCTTTCTGGTCTTTGTAATTCTTTGTCATGAAAACAACGCCGTATAATTCCTCTTTTTTGAGGACAGATAGTGTATAAAATGCAGAATCTAAATCAAAAGGTTTGATATGGCGTGTCAGATTATTGCCTCCGCAATGTTAAAAAAAAGGAAACAAAAAATACAAAATGCAAGCAAAAAGTTGTAATGATTGAAGGTCTGTTGCTTTATGCTTGATAGCATGCATGGTTACAAGTGTTTATGTCATCATTGGGAGGTCTAGCTCTACATCTTTGACTGTGGCAAAAGCTGTTAATCCTTATGAAGCTTCGATTCTTCATACCCCAAGCACCTCTTGAACAAAGTAAATAGATGCAATTTATGATCCAAATTAGGTGGAAGCTCTAACAGTCCCTCATAGTTATGTGTCATCCAAAAGTGTATCTCTAACTTAACTCTTTTTGCTTTTGTACCTTTTTATTAAAAACATTGGGTTTTGGTCCAGTATCAACAACAACTTCGCACAAGTTGGGTCGGCTATATGAATCCTCACTTCTCCATTTAAGCTTAATCTCATGTCATCATTATACCAAATAAAAATAGAAGTAAAAAAAAGAAGTTAAATAACCATCTTTTAGTTGAATCCTTGAGACTGTAAGACAAAATTTGCAAGTTGTTTTTCCCGTATGACATGTTTGAACAGTGTATTTGACAGCATGGATGATCGATACAAGTTGTATGTCAATGGCTTTTCACACAGAGAAAGGATGGTGCTATGTAATTAAATACCAAGTGCTATCATTGGCTTCTTTTTTAGCTGAAAGAACGGCTTCCACAATGAACGAAAAACTTCTGAAACAGCGAATCTATGTGAAGAGTGACAGGACTTAGTGAGATCCATGAATCTTCTATTGACCATGAAGTAGTCCTTCTATTCTATTGTGACCGACAGTCAGACAAGGGTTTTATAGGAAACTACTTTAATGGGGAACATTGCCAGAGTAGCATAATGCAAAATGTAAAGTGTTATTCAGGCAATTTGTCTGAAAGCCTCCCTGCAGGACACTGGGTTTTCATCCTTTTTACTGTGTCAGAGCTCTGCTATACGTTGTTGTTTTTCCCATTTTCCTGTAGGTTCTTCATTGTGTTTTTAAATTGGATGCCCTAATTCTTTTTCATCAATAATTACCTTACCTTATCAAAAAGATTCTCATTTGATCATTGATATGTTTAAAATTTCAGATGCTTTTCTTTTGGTCATGGCACCTTTGGGGTTGCTTTCAAGCATCGTTATACTGCCTATTTTACCCATGTTATCCAGACTGATAAAGGTGATCCTCATATTTTTCATATCCCTTTCGATTTGTGATGAACATTTTGTAACCTTTTCTTGTTAGTCTTTCAGTTGTATTTGCCCTCTAATTCCAAAGTCTTTTGCAGACTGAGTCATGGCCAACCCTAGTAGAGAAGATAAACAGAGCCGTCTTGCTATGCATGGTTAGGACATTTATTTTAGAAGCAGGTTATTGTTATCTTGAATGTTTGTGATGGATCAATATTTTTGCAACTTTGGTAGGACTGTGAAGGAAAACATAAGAGTTTTTTTTTTAAAAATCTTGAGCTGTATTCTGCCATTCATTTAACTAACTTAATTCTTTTTGGAGTACCCCAAAATGATTGCCCCTTTCTGTGCTTCAATTTTTCAGTTTTATGTAGTAAATAATATTGATCTTGTTCTAACTTGATGCAAATAAACTGTGAAGGAACACTTTCCGTCCCATATTTTCACACTTCCAAATTTTGTTGTATTCTCTTAAAAGTATTTCTGAACTAATCTCATAGAATAACTATTTCATTATCTTTTTCCTCAATCTCTGAACCTGTTGGAGTAGATGAATTTTCACAATAAGCAGATGAGTTGTATTTTTGCAGTTACTTTGGGATATCAGTTCTCTTTACTTGGACCATCTGCTGGTATGTTGTTATCTTAGGTTTGATTTAGCAGATTCCTCAAAGTTGGCCTAGGACCTTTATAGTCCAAATAAGATTTTGGAGTCACTTCATACGGACTGTTTTTGTGAATTGATTTTCATTGGACTCTTTCATCGGCCCCTAATACAGAAAATGAACAACTAGGTTGGGTCAAATTCAGCTGTATGAGTTCACTATATGCACTCCACTCTATTCGAGCCCATACCAATAATGGTGTAATGCAGATGCAAATGAAATATAAGATTTTTCACCAACAAGTGTGTTTATCAAATGTACTTGATTACTGATTGTGCTACAATTTTCCTGTTTTATACAGGTCATTCTCCTGCCAATCCTTTCAGTCATGAGTAGCTTGGCCAATCCAATCATCCGCGTCTTGTTTGAGCGATATGCATTTGATTCTTCGGCAAGTGCTTTAGTTTCTTCTCTTTATCTTTTCTGTAAGTATTGGATCAACTCATATTAGAGTGTCTGAATTACATTTAAAATAAGAGCACCTATGTACTCGTGAGGGCGGAATCTATGTCTAGACATCAGACATAGATTACTTTTTTGTTTAAATTACTTGTTAATAAAGAAAAAGAAAGAACCTTTTGGGGAATAGTTTCTTGACATAATCATCTTTGTGTAGATTCTCTTGGCTCACCATTCTTGATCCTCAGAGAGTTGCTAGTCGCAGTGTTTTATGCCTTTGGAGATGGACTGAGACCTTTCCTGGTTAGTATTGGAGCTATTGCTCTAAATGCTCTCTTGGATTGGTTCTTTGTTTACAGATTAAATAGTGGATTGCAAGGATTGGTTAGTAGAATTTTGCCTATTTTCTTGCAATAACTAGTAGGATAATATTCATCCTTTAACAAACTCTCATTGCTAATTGTATTGATGAAAATGAAGGCGCTTGCAACGTCACTCACTGCTGCCTTGTCTCTCGTTACCCTGTTCCATCTCCTTCAAAGGAAGGTTGGAGGTAAAATGCGGAAGTATATTAGTCCAGCAAAGCAGTTCATCTCTCAACTCTGTTTTATGTAATTTTGGTTGTAAAATTGCAGGGATTTTTCATCTTCCTGAATTAATAGGTCGTGGTTTGCTTCTATGCTTCTGTTGTGTCATCTCCAGCTCTGTAACTTCCATCAGTTATGAAATGATCTCAAAAAAATTCCTTTCCGAGTATATCACAAGGTTAGCCGTTTTTGCTTGGGACCTATGATATGCCATGAGTATAATCATAATTTTGACTGGTTCTTTATATTCAAATCCAGGTTGCCTAGGATCCAAGAACTCTACTGCATAGTATCAGCTGCTGCTCTTGGATTTATTGGCTTCTTTGCCCCTCTTCTGTTATATTATTTTTCTAGATATAAATTGGAGTTGAATAACTTGAATATTGATGAAACATAAGGTCAATGCACAGTTCCTTGGTATTTGGTTCGGAACTCCTTATACATGCCGGCGCCAAATGTTCTGCTCAATGAAAGATTGAAGAATGCAAACAATTCAGAGTGAAGTTCAGGATGATCGTTGTAACATAACAGTTTGATTGGCTTAAAGGGTACCAACGTGGACTCGAGACGAACCTGCCGATATTCATATTATAAAATCTTCACGAATAATTTCGAACATTGGAGATTGCAGCGACATCAAGAGACATTTATAAAGTACATGAGCAACTAAACTGGCGAGACGGTGAGCATGTCGCATTAGTTGATGAATCGGGTAGTTTCTTGTTTGCTTCTAACTCATCTTTGCAGACGCTAAATTCCTTGAAATTTGTTGTTATACAATTGTACATTAATCGCAGACTTGCCTGATCTTGTAGCATTTGTTATGACAATGAATTTAATTCTAAAAATAAAACAAATAAATAGAGAATTTGTCCCCACAAGGCTGTGTTGAGATAGGACGAAATCAGTGTGGCCCAGACCCAATTATTATTTATTTATGTACATCAAATTAGGCACATTTTGTTAGTCTTTAGTTAGCCCTTTTATTTCTTTACATATATTGGGCCATGTATATATACAGAGGGACCCAGTTTTGTAATGGTCAGAGAATTCATTTTTTGTTTCGAGTCAATAAGAACTATCTCGAATTTTCTCTCTATCTCTCTTTAACCCTACGTTCTTCTTCATTGAATCTATGAGAATGATGAATATTAACATGGTATCAGAGCACAGATCCATGCTCATCTAGTGTTACGCTTCCGATTGATCCTATCCTCGCCAGTTTTCGTTGAGTTTTTAAAGTCCGACAGTGTTCGTCGATTCGGTGATATTTTCGGTTGATTCTTCTGTTTTCGATGGGTTTTTCTTTGCGCAATGGAGTTATTTGGTGTTAAATCTGAAGGTTTGGTCGATATTCTTCAGGATTTTACCATTTTTCGAGCTAGGGTTTTGAGCTAGGGTTTTCCTTATCTTTGAAGGCCGTTCTCTTTCTGGTTTCGAAAGAGGCTGGTATACCTATTCTACTTTTCCCTTATTCTGGTGATATAGTTGTTGGTATTCTCATCACTTTAGCTGATTTTTTTTTAATTTGTTGCCAATATGACGAATGGTAATTCTGATTCCACTCAAGCTCCTGCATCTTCTACTGGTTCGCGTATTGTGTTTCATAAGGACGATTATACCCATCCCTGTCACCCCTTATATGTTCACCGTTCTGATGTACTTGGGACTTCTCTGGTCTCCACTCCTTTTGATGGAGCATGTTGTGGTAGCTGGAGACGCATTGGGTTAGTTGCTTTGTCTATTAGAAATAAAACTAATTTTATAACCGGTGCTACTGGGAGACCTCCTGATGGGTCACCCTTAGCTAGACAATGGCAAAGATGCAATGATCTTGTAATATCTTGGCAAGTAAACTCCTTGTCTAAAGATATTGCTCGAAGTGTAGAGTATTCTGAATTTGGTAAGGATATATGGAATGAATTAGAAGAGAGATATGGTAAAGCTGATGGTGCCAGGGTCTGAGTTAAAAAGGGAATTGGCCCATATCTCTCAAGGGTCACTTGATATAACATCCTATTTCAATAAGATAAAACAATTGTGGGATGAAATTGCCTCCATCTCAGCTGGTAGGGCAAGAGTTTGTACTTGTGGGGCCAAATCAGCTGAGGATGAGGAACAAAGAGCTTATCAATTCCTTATGGGTCTAAATGAAACTTATGTTCAAACCAGGAGTAACATCTTAATGTTGAAGCCCCTTCCTTCTGTTGGTACAGTCTACAGTATTCTTTTGTCTGATGAGAAGTAGATGCAGGTATCTGCTGGGACTCAGTTTCCCTCTAATTCTGCTTCCTTCACTGCTGGTGTATTGAACCCTCCACCAACTAACAATGCTGCTGTGTCAAAGCCTAATTTTCCTTCCAAGGCGTCTTTTGAGTCTACTAGGTCTTTTGGGGTATGCAAATATTGAAAAAAACCCGGTCACAACATTGACAGGTGCTATAAGCTGTATGGTTTTCCTCCCAATTTCAGACCTACAAAGAATTTGGGCCCCAAAAGATCAGTTGCTCATGTTGAGCTTGAATCCAACACAATGTCTGGTATTCCTACTACGGAGTGTGGTGCTGATGTGTCTTAGTCTCAGTGTCAGAGTTCCTCTGCAGTGCCTGGCCTTACCAAGGACCAGTTTTCCCAACTGATGATGTTACTTCAGCAGCAAGCCGAAATCATTGCTTCCCCTCCTGGTTCCAACCTCATGGGGTCTACCAACTTTGCGGGTATGTTGCCCACCCAAAAGGGAATGTCTTATGGAGCTTGTATGATGAGTAGAGTAGATGGCATAGTTTGGATAATAGATTCAGGAGCATCTGATCATATGACCTCCATTAAAAGTTTGCTTTTCAACATACAAACCTTACATGTTCCTTAGTCTCTCTTCCCAAAGGCTATAAAGTCAAAGTTACTAATATTGGCTCTATAGCCTTAATTCCCGATCTTATTCTTCACAATGTAATTTACATTCCTAGTTTCCAATATAATCTCATTAGTGTTCATAAGCTGTTATGTCATGATGCTGATATTGTAAAGTTTACCAAGGCTGCTTTCACTCAACAGGGCCATTCACTGAAGAAGACAGTGGTTCTTGGTAGGCTGGACAATGGTCTTTACAAACTCTTTCAACAAGCTAATTCTGCCGGGCAACAGTGTTCTGTTCCAATTTCTCCTACTGTTAATACTTCTAGTTCTGTTTCTTGTTCTTTTCCTGCAACTAGTGATACATCCTCTATAAATACCATTGATGTACCTAATAAAGTCAACAATGCTGATGTTGTTTGGCACTATAGACTTGGACATGTTCCTTTCTCTAAAATGAAACATATGAATAATATTGGTTGTATTTTTTCTTCTAAACAGTTTTTTACTTGTCCTATATGTCCTTTAGCAAGACAAACAAGATTGCCTTTCTATGACAGTTCTATACAAACTACTAAAGCATTTCAATTGATTCACATGGATACCTGGGGTCCATATTCTACACCTACCTACACTGGCTGTAGGTACTTGTCACACTTCCTTTTTACTACCCCCGGAAGGGTATAAGGGAGTATTTTCCAATTTAAGTGACAATCGAAACGGGATTATTTTATTTAAGAATCAGAGTCGCCACTTGGGATAATTTATGGTGTCCCAAGTCACCGGTTTGAATCCCGAATCGAGGAAAATATTGACTCTGTTTATGTTTGCGAACACAGAAATCCGGGTAAGGAATTCTGTTAACCCGGGAGAAGGTGTTACACATTCCCGAGTTCCGTGGTTCTAGCACGGTCGCTTTGATCATACTTGGCTTGACTAAACTGTCTAATTACTGGTTTTAGAACCTATGTGCATTTACCTTTTACCGCTATCTTGAAACGGGTCACGCGTACGTGTACCCATTTGTTTGGCGCGTCAAAATCATGTCACGCGGACGTGTCCACAATTAGTAATGCTTTATTATTATTAATAAAGTTTGACTGAAGTTGCGCGAATGCATACTCCGGTTTTGTTTTTAAAAATCGTAATCATGTCACGCGAACGTGTCCACAACCACGATAGTATATTAAACGTGCCTAAAGCAAACTACGAACATTTGTCATTTTTGTATTCTAAGTCATAAGATTAGTACGAGGACCATGGATGATTAAATTTGTGAATGGCGCGCCTCGAACTATATAATCCTAAATTAATTAGCGACTTATTAAACCAACTATTATTAAGCAAAATTTGATTGAAGTTGCGCGAACGCATACTCGGAATTGATTTTTAAAATTGTAATTATGTCACGCGAACGTGTACACAATCACAATTGTATTTTAGACGGCCCTAAAGGTTTTTCTACGGATATTTATCCTAATATCTAATGAGAGCATGTGAGGGCCATAGATCAATTTTGATGGCACACCTCAATCTAATTAAAGGAGTCCAAACTACTCTTTTGAGGGCCATAAACTATTGGTGTTATTTAATATGGCACACCTCAACCTAAATAAAAGAATTATTTTAAAACAACTCAATTTAAAAGTATTATTTGCACAACTGCTAGTTATAAAGGAACGTTGGGCTTTCAGCTTTCGGAAACAAGCCTGTTATAAGCGAAACTGGTAGCAGCAGTTATATGAAAATTGGGCTTAACTCGAAACCAGAAATGAACTATGAGCACTTGCTCACAAATGGACTGCAGGTCCAGACCCAATTACCATTGGACTGCAGCATGCAACACGCCCAGTAACGACAGCACTGATGGGGAAGTCTGGGCCCAAGAATAAGCCCAAAAGTAGAAAAAACAAGCATTACAGCCCATGCCAAATCGGACTCAAGCCAGCATATTTGGACAAAATCATATGTTTCTAATTATTTCCACAGAAAACAAGATGTAAAGAGTTAAACTAAATCTGATAATTCTCGAGTCTGAAATTTAACCCAAAATCCATTTGAAGGCCGTTATGAATTCAAGTTATTCATGCACGAGCAAAGCAAAAGCAAGGTGCCAAAACTGAAATAGTTGAGCTATTAACAGATCATGAGAGAACCAAACCAACATAAAAAAACTAATTTATGGGAAAACAAAACTTAAACCAGAATTGCTAAAGAAACAACATGAACGAACTAATCTGGTGAATATTTAACCATAACTATAAGAAGCATCTCCAAAACCCAGCAAACTCACAAATCAAACTAAAAAAAAGTCATAGTCCTCAATTTATACATATTATCCTAAGCCTGAGAGCACTCTTAAATCAAACAACATTCAAACAACACCCCAAATCCAAACCTTGAGACGAAATGTAATATCAATGACATGAATGAAATACGCATAGTAAAGCTAAACTAAAAGAAACATGAGCAAAATACAACAGATTCGAGCAGTTATTCAACAACAGGAAACTAGCATTTGTCATTTTTCTTCAACTTTGGATTACATGGCTTCACATTTGCACCTCATATGCTACTCAAGAGCCAAGGCATACCTGGATGTCAACAGAAACAAAGAAAATGAAAAGCTCACCAGCAGCAACAGAACAAGTGAATCAACAGCTCCAAACACAGCAAGATTCAACTCTTTTGGACCATTTTTAAACCAGAATGAATCAAAAGTCTTGAAAGGTTTTAAACTTATGAAGATAAATAGCAAAGCAGGCTAATTTCTACCAAAGAATGCAAGGGATTTCCAGTATTTTGAACTCAGCCGTTTTTAAGCTTTTTTAGTATTGTAATTCTCTAAATTCTCCCTTGAAAGAGAAGAAAACAAGCCTCTTATAGAGGACTTCTAGGGCAGCAGAATGGGTTTCAGATTTTGCCCATTACCCCTTCTTTAATTTTCATTCTTTTAACTTTAAACCCCAATTTTCTAACCTGTTTGTCAAACTACACCCAAACCCCACCTTCCAGGAAGTTTCCAAGTCAGTTATACAAGATTTCCCTTGATTAAATTCCCTAAATCACCCTTTAGGCTTCTGCTATTTACCCTCAGAACCAGATATAGGTCAAGTTGACCCAACTAACAACCCAAACCTGGGCTTGCGAAACCCGGACTGACCCCTCCCCCTCTTCGGGCTTCAGCACTTCAACAAACCCAAATTCAAAACTTAAACAAATGGATTCCCAAATAAAATCATCTAACTCTGAACTTCTAACAACATGAACTCTTATTAACGAAGCAAAAATAAAAGAAAGAAATAGAAAGAAAAAGAAAATTAACAGTCATTTTATCAAAGAAAATAATCTAAATCTTATAAACTAAATGTGATGCAACAGAAAAATTCAAAGACAGAAAAAAACAAAAAGAGAAAGAGAGGACTAGAAAAAGATGAGGACTGGAAATAGCAAAGACGAAGACGAAGACGAAGAAAGAACTGAAATACCTAGAACACACAGGCGGAAAATGGCTTGAACGGACTCCTGGAACCCTCGATTTTGAGCCGAAATTGGCCTTAATCGTGTGTTCTTGTTGAGAACAGACGAGCAAAGCCAGTTTCGACTCTCAATCACTCGTCAAAACTGGAAAAACTCGGGGATTTTCTTTCTCTTCTTCTTTTTCTTTTCAGATCCAAGATTGGCTCCATTTGGTGAGGATTATAAAGGATATGGGGGTAGATTAGGAATCAGGGGTGAGTGAGGGTTGTATGGTCGAAGTTTAGGGTCGATTGGAGCTTCAAACCGGTGGGAATGGCTGAATTTGGAGGCGGCGTTAGGGTTTTGATCGAAGGAGATGAGAGAGACAGACGAGGGATGTTTGGACTAGGTTGTCTCTAGGAGCTTCAGACATATTTAATCAAAATGGGGAAAGTGTTTGGGGCCGTTGGATAAGATGGAACGGAGGGCCCAGATCGATTTAACTTCAAGAACTCCAAACGACATCGTTTGGTTAATAAAAAGGGCAGACCGGGTTAGGGCATGGATTTGGGCTGGACTGACTGGGTCTGGGGTGGAATTTGATTTGGGCTAAACCAAATTGGCCCAAAATAAGCTTTTCTTCTAATTCTTTTCTTTTTCTTTTTCAGTTTCAATTCTCCTTTTCTTTTCAGATTAATTTAAATCCTAAATTAACTCTTAAACTAAACTTATTTACCAAAATAAGCTAATTACTAGTCATAGTATTTACAACAATTAATTAACTCCTAAATTAAAGAAAAACTATAAAATCCAAAAATTAAAAAGTTAAAAATGCCAAGTGAGTCATTTTTTTTGTGATTTTTTTTCATTTTTGTAAAACAACTAATTTACTATTTAACCTAAAAATGTAAAAATTAAATCCTAAATGCAAATGCA